CCAACGTTGCTTTTGTCTCTTCTGGCACGTAATGCGCATGAACCATTTTTGGACAGAATTGTCACCGTTGATGAAAAATGTATTCTCTATGCGTATATTAAACGCCAAAAATAATGGCTCAGTTCTAGACAAAATCCACTCCCAACCCAAAAACCTGGATTCCATCCACAGAAGGTGATGCTTTGCATTTGGTGGGACATCAAGGGAGTAATTCATTTCGAACTCCCCAATCCACATGTCAATGCAGAGATCTATAGTCAGGAACCGGAATGTTTAAATCAAGCCCTCCATCAGAAACGCCCTTCACTCGTCAATCGGAAAGGTGTTCTTCTCCGCGACAATGCACAACCACATGTGGCACGTTTGACGCAACACAAGATTATGGAGTTGGGTTGGGAAGTTCTCCCCCACCCATAATATTCTCCAGATATGGCACCATCAGATTACTATCTTTTTCATTCACTGCAATGGGAAAACGTATACAAATATGGAAGGAGTTAAAGAGAACATCGACATGTTTTTTGCTTCAAAACCAAGTGGTTTCTTTAATCAGGACATTAATAACCTGATTGTAAGATGGAAAAGCATCATCGATAAGAACGGAGACTATTTCATTTAATAAATGTTTTGTTTTGATATACAAGTGAAAACAACATTAATTTCTTGACGACCTGATAATAATATTTTCTCACAATGTAGTTGACGAAATGAATAGTTTCATATTAACCTAAAACAGTTATAAATGGTATTTACAGCAGATTGTTATATTTATTTGTAATATTTTCTCGGGAACATTGATTGGGATATAAGTATCTACAGAACTTGGATAACTATTAGCTTATTACTTTAGGCAATACAAACAAGAACATTTCGGAAAACAAAAGTTTTTTTTTTTTTCTCTTTCAGATTATGTATGTATGTATGTATTTGTCAGGAATATTTATGAAATTAATAAATTCAGGATTTGTATGGATATAAAAAATAAATCTTTGAAATAATTTGTTAAATTAATGTTGTTGTTCCATCCTTGCTTGCTGTAACTAGAGCAAATCTCTGATGGGTGACTCTTCAGTTCTATTTTCTCCACCATCTATAATTAAGGAAACCTTACCAGAAGAAAGCGAGACCTTTAATAATGCCTTTGTTGCACCATCAGGCTCAGCTATTCCTAAACAGAAGGTAAACCTGTTATTTTATTGATTAGTCATTAGTTTATTGATTATAGATGTGTAATTTACTACAGGAAACTGCTCTGTAAAGTGCTTGCTCATTTTATAGATATGTGCTTGTTTACTGTCGCCTCAGAGAAATCAGGATCACTTAAGAAACTATTGTTATACTGTATGGTTTATAAAGAATTCTTGTAAGTATCGTAATATTATCGTCAGTTGATTAAATGATGTTTACAAATTGTGATAGTCTAGAAAACTGTGTTACAGTAATCTTTGCGTAACCTGAGTAGAATGCTTTTAGTGTGTTTCTTGTTTACACAAAGAAGCAGCTAAAGTTCTTAACACATGACTACTGCTAGGGCTGTTTTTTTATAAATCTTTGTTTTTTAACCCCACTTGATCTCACAACTTTCCATTGCATCTTGCACTGCATGCTCTCCTAAATGCACTTTTGATCCCTTTCTTATAGTGCAAGCTTCACTACCCTCGAGTAGCACAGCGCATAAACTTCGAGGAAACTCCTCACAAAAAATCTTTACTGAAGGTTAGTTTGTAGTGACTGCAGTTTTTCTGCTTATTACTAATATTTTATTTATTTGTCTATATTTTTTTTGCATTTGTCTTGTGTCTTTTTGAATTCTTGATTGTCACTTTTTTTAAGATAAATATTTTATCAGAACAAAACAAACTTACTCAGTAGTTTTTTTGAATATGAGAAATTTTAATATTACATGTGGTTTTTCTGTTAGATTCAAAAACACTACAGAAGTTGTTGACATAGTTGCCATTATAGCACCTTAAAATGGCTACTTTCATTTTTTTTTCCTTCCTCTTATTTTTGTTTAACGTTTTGATCTCACCTACAACATCAATGAATTCTTATCAGGTAGGCATAGTTTTAATTTTCTAAAAATCAGTGTAAATTACAGTTTAAACCAAAACATCCACATTGAAAATAACACCATTCCTGCTCACTTTTTTTAGCTTGATATAAGGTGGGAAATGGTGGCTTGTGGCAAGACAAAGGATCAAATAGAGTTGACTGAGCAAGCCCGTCGTTTGATGGGCAACTTACGGCCTCGAGCACTCGACCTGTAAATCCAGGTTGTTTCACATTGTGAGCTCTAATGGCGGTAAGGAGTGTGTGTATTTGTATCCTCATATACATTAGAAAGTCCTTTATTTATGGTAATGATAATAATACTAGAAAATTCACTTTAAATATTCTTATGGTTCAAAGCCAAATTTGCTTACAATTAACTTCTTTTTTTTTCCATCAAAACCTGCATAATACCTGGTAATTTCTTTGTCATCATCATGTTAAAATCTTATTCAGATCGTAATTTATACATTGTAGAGGATAATATAAGGCATTTGCTTTTTGCAGATGTTTTGGTTGCAATATTAAGGAGTTTAAACTACATCAAATGCTTAAAGTACCAAACAAAAGATTAATTTCTAGGTGGCAGTGTTTAATGTAAGTTGTGAAAACATGAGATAAAAGTTAATGTTTATCATGTGAACAATTTTTTTTCATAGAAAACTTACTTAATAACAAAAAATAATGGCTAAAATAGTGTTAACTAATATTTAGGCTCTTGAAGAAATAAAGTACATGAGATTTCTTACTATGTCTGACTTCTGGCTGTTCATTTCCTTCTAACCTTTCCCAACCCATATCACTACTTACTGCACAAATGCTTGTTTCTGTGTTTCAAGAATGACAATAGTTTACTTTCACTGTTTGCTAACTTGTTATCAATGTTTTAGACCTTCTTGCTCTTTCCTGCTCTGAAATGTTCAAGTATACGGTTTAATAACATGGTGTTTTCTGTGTCATTCTCTCTCTCTACATCATAGTTTCACACTTAATTTTTATTATTGTTATCGAGTTAACAACAGTTCGTCTGAGTATTTTTACATAACATTTAGATTCAGTTTACTATGGACTGTCTGAAACTAATTTCAAATTAAAATACAGATTATTGTATTAGGAGTAAACCTTGAGAGTAGCAGTTAAAAAGAATAGTAATTATCTATTAAAAAGTTGTTAGATGACAGGATACATAAATTTATACAAATTAGTTGAGCGTGTCACAGTACAGTGTAAAATCAACTTCTGTACTAAATATAAGTGTGTTAATAATTATTTGTTAGAGAGCATTTTTGCATCATGTTCCCTTTATTCTTTACAGGCTACACTACTTCAGTGGTAACAGGAAATTTACAACTGTAGTTGACAATGGATTCGGACTCCGACTTTATTTTGGCACGTCTAATATCTTAATGGATTACTCGAGTAACATTACATTTGTGTGGAATAGTTAACACATTAATTTTCTTGTTGCAGCTTATGGCATTTATAGTGAGGAAGTCAGCAAGTTGTTCGTAATTTTAGCATAGAGGAGCAATGATATTAGTTGCTTATACTACCATTAGGTGTCAGTGTATGTAAATATTAACCTTCATGATTCACTAATGATTAAAACAAAAAGTATATATATTCTAAATATAAGAAAAAAAACTCTTATTTACTACAAATGTAAACAAAATTTTAGTTTCAATATGTGACAAGTGTTATTTATTTTTTTTAAATTATCCATTTGAGTCCTCATCCAAAAAGTGAGCATTCTGTACTTTAGGATAACTGTGATTTGTTTTGTTGAAATTCAAATTTTTTTGTTTCTCCCAGGTGATATTTTGAACTTTAAAAAAAAAAATCTGAATTCACTGGAATTGCAGTTTCAAAATATAAAAACTACTTCTGCATTTTACTATAAAACTTTATTCTGTTTCTACAAGAAGACTTTTTGTTCTGGTATTATGATTAGGTCCCATATAAAACGTGTATAATCTTATATCAATATATATATATGTATATTGGTACGTTGGTTTCACATTTTACAAATGGAGACAATAACAACAACTCCTAAAGAAACCCACACAAATAAATTGCAAGGTTTGGAACTCTTTGTATCATAAATTTCTTCCAAAGTTATAGAATATGTTTCAACTTTTTCAGTTATGAGTCAGAAGATTCACTTCTTTGAACCTTTTCGTTTTAATGACACAGAATAACTATACATTAATTTAAATTTATTTGTACATTACTTTTGAGTTGTTGTAAAAACTATGATATTGTTCATAAGATCATGTTCACTCTTAAAATTACAAAACTACAGTTTGAATGTGGCATGATTTTAACAGGTTATGAAGATTATACAACTTTTCAGAGAAGACATGTTTCAAGGATATAAGGGATGAAATCTTCAGTTTCTTTATCTTGATAACTTTTCATACGTTTTTATAACTTCTTATATAAAACCTTATGTTTTTAGCAAAGGGACAAATACAAAATGTGCTGAAAAAATTGAACGTTTTCTAGTAAAGAATGACTAGTGGACAAAAATATTTTTTTTTACTACTGTTGGTTTTTTTCTGACGTCAGAATATTAAAAGAACGATGCTAGTGTATGTGCAGAAAGTTATTATTTAAAGAGATGTATATGACTGTAAATAGAACCAAGAACTAAGGAGAATGTAAGCTTTTTTATATTACTTTAAAAAAAACCGAACAAAAGTCTAAAATGTTAGCACGTCTAGTTATCTAAGTTGTAAAGAATTTAAGTTTCTTACTGTTGTAAGTGTTTGACTTGTTTTACCTTTCATACTATTCCTTAAGTTAAATGTAGCTGTCAATTAAGTGTAACTGGCTTCTTTTGTTTATTTTTATATTTTTTGTCAAATAAAGTATAGGTTTTTAGTTTCTTGTTATGAATGGAAAAAAATGGAACTAAGCATTCATATTTACAACAAAAAATGAACTGGAAAACATTTTTTTTTATATAAAAATGTAAAACACATTATATAATTTTGATCTGTACCTGAAATTAGTTATTTTAAAAGAGTTGTAGTCATCCCTCGTGTGGATTGGTCTATATATATATTAGACTATTTGTAAAAGTATATTTTTAGCTAGTTATGTGGTCCCTGTGATAACAGTTTAACCAGTTTTAATTTTTATTTACTATGGGCTTTTGTAATCGGATTTTAAAAGTCATGAATGATTGTACCTCATATAGAAAGTTTTGTAAGTGATAAAATTGGCTAGCACCTTAACAATAAAGTCTTTGGAGAACTATTTTGTAAGTGTTATTTTAATAGACTTAAATGGATACATGATACAAATGTTGAGAAAAAACAAACATTCAGAAATGAAACTGGCAGCGCTTAGACAACACAGGCTTGCAATGGTTTTATTGTCTTCAGATTTTTACATGTTCTAAGGTAATTCCCGTACGCTCACCTGGAAATATGATGTACAGATTTTTCACGAATCCTCAAATGTACTTTTGTATAAGTGAAACATTTTCATCAAAATCGGGTCTCATTTTGTTATGCTTAAAATGTTGACAACCACTGGCTGTAGATTTCTCTAGACCAATCGCGACGCGAGAGTCTTATTGGTCGTTCTAGAACCCAACCATAATAAAATAAAATGTTCATGTGGTGAACGAAACAATGATTTGATCTGAGTAAATGTTTGTTTTTTTTCTTCCCGAGTTGTAAAATAATTCTTACGTGATAGAAAAAATTAATATTATTTTCGAAATTTGCGTAGCTGAATTATGGAAAATCCGTTATTAAAACCAAAACATCTTTTATGAAGTTTAAATTCGCAGGCCTGTGTTATTGAACGAGAGTGAGGTTTGCCATTAGTGATACCTACTCCCTCGAAGGCTTTATGGACACAACTAACTACAACCAAGAAAAATAGCCTTTTTTTAAAAGAAAGAAATACACCAATACAGACATTCTTTGGGGATCGGTTCACAACCAACCTATTTTTTGTAACAATACAGTTATGGATACCTTTGAGCCACAGAGCAACATTTGCATTATTTATTACATTTAATTACTGACCGCGCTGAACCTTTCAGTTAAGAAAAAAATAATGTATATCGATTCAAAATATTTAATACCATTCCCCCTACGGTGGCTTAACATTTAGTTTTTTTTAGAACTTATAACGCTAAGATTCGAAGTTTAATACCTGTAGTTGTAAACTTAAAAAGAACAAAACTAAATCTGTCTTTATATCAGAAAGTCAAAGAGGGTAGTTTTAACAAAGTAACTATTGTGGCACAAATCACTAAGTTATTGAATTAGATTGGTATCAAATGCTGAATAAGTGAATATTTACAACTTTTCTTTGATCCCATAATTATGTATTGTTCCAAATGTTTGATTCAGATATTCGCACAAAGCTATTTTAGGACTATCTGCGCTAAGCGTCTCTAATTTTGAACTGATAGGCTAAAGGAGCTAGTCAACAACACTCACCGCTAACTCTTGGATTACTCCGAGTTTCACGATTTGACGGCCCCCCAGTGGCACAGCGGTATGTCTGCGGACTTACAACGCTAGAAACCGGGTTTCGATACCCGTGGTGGGCACAGCACAGATAACCCATTGTGTAGCTTTGTGCTTAACTTCAAACAAACACTATTTTACAGTCATTCAGAACGTATCCAAAGTGCAGAACGCGATTTTGTGGTAACAGGTCGTAAGTATGGGCTCTCGGATTCACAGATCGGCACGATAAATAATAGATCGCGACCAACCCCGTTTTTTGAAAATGAAACAGCTTAAACTGGAACTCGCTTTCTTATAGATTGGTAAAACCAATATCAATCTAAAAGAATATACTAAAGACGTTTCTTTTTAACTTTATGTGATGGCATCACTCGTGGTAATGGAAATGATCTGGTTTTTCCGATTTACTGATTGGCGAACGTAACTTAATCAGTTCTCACGCTTGTATTACGAAAAAACAAACATACTTAATAGTCTCTTATTAGTAGTACAATCAAACCTAAAAAAAAATGATAGAGTATGAGATTTCACGACTGTTTGTTTTGTTTTAACGCCTTTGAAACAGATTAAAAGCAGCAAAACTACTGCAATGAGGTGCATAATACAATATACATAACCCAGCTGGTGGAATTCGTAACTATAGAGAATGTATTATGCGAAGTTTCGTACATGGTGGTCGCTGTCAGAAAGATTCTACGAAACGCCCGTACTTCTAAATGATGTGAAGAGTCGTTAATTTTTGTGGGATGGTGATTCCGCCCTTATAAAGGCTCCTGGATGTGATCCAGAGCCTTTATGTACAAGTTGGCCTTGAAATGTTATCCAGACATCTAAAAAATTATATCTGCATGTGTACCCTAAATCTGGTTGGCCGTTACTTTGCTGTGCCTCACGTTGTGAGATTTTCAGTAACTTATATTGTATTTGATAATGTAAAACATAGTTCAATGTAAACGTATTTTAGATACAGTGTAGTTAATGTTTTAGCTAGTACTTTTGTCGTATTTCGTTAGCGTTCTCGCTGGGCTTATTGTAAATGAAACGTATTCCCACCCCCAAAAAGATATTATCAACCCTCGTCAGAAAACTGCTCAGACTAAAACATTTAAAGTTTTGTTAAAATAACGCTTAGGCGATGTTGTTCTCTGACGGAAAACTTCTGAAATATTTACAAATTTTTAAATAAATAAAAATTGCCCCCCCCAGTGGCACAGCGGTATGTCTGCGGGCTTACAACGCTAGAATCCGGGTTTCGATACCCTTGGTGGGCAGAGCACAGATGGCCCATTTTGTAGCTTTGTGCTTAATTATAAACAAACAAATAAAAATTAGTAAAAGAAGTATTGTCAAAAATGGAGACCGTTTGAGCCGTTGTCTTATTTTAATCCATGTTCTATTATAAATGGTTCTACGCGTATCTTAAACTTTAAATTCGATTGATTTGATAAATTTTAAAATCACCCGTACAAATTATCAGTCATAGTTCATTGAAAGAAGGGTAAATTGAAATTAGAGTTAGTAAGTAACTATTTGGTATCTTACTATGAGGATGATCCATCTTGTGTGTGTGTTAGCAGAGTTGGCTGACTTGCTTACTGTAGTTTTTGGTAGGTAACTGGAAATTGTCCGACGATGTGCAAGGGTTATTTTGTTTTAGGATCTTTTTCACAACAAAAGATGGAGGGTACCCTGAAATACGTCACATTTTCCACTATATACATATTTTGGCTTTGAATTTAAAGACGAATACTTAATCAGCTAAATTAGTATCTAATGAGGTCATCAGGGATTTAATAACAAAAGAAAGTAGGAAGGAGAACATTATCTAACATTGTATTTATACAGTTTTGGGGTCCTTAATGGGTATTCACAACTAGTGTAGATAAAACGAAAAACCATGTTGCAGAAACTAGTCAACCTAAATAACTAGTAAAGTCAGATGTTTCCTTGGATAAAAAATCGTAATTTTCTTCCGTTTATTCATGTGTTTATTATACTAGAATGTGCATGAAAATAAATTATAACACTTTTATAATTGTCTTGTCTTTTATTTATCATTCTATTGGTCTTTCTTGGTTTCTTGAGATTTCACCTTGTTGCTGCATAAAGAAGCACGTTCGTGGTGTATTCTTTGAAAAAATAATGTCCGCTTTCTTTTTCATCAAGTTCGAGTTATTCACGCTTTGCGTTCACTTCTTTAGAATCTCCTGTAATTGTGATTCCTAATTTATTTACCTGTTAAATTAACCAACCGTATCTTAGGGTACCATATACTGACGGTTGATGCTGTATTGGATATTTTGAATACAGTACACGTTTTTTTTTAACCTGGAATGACTTCATTATGGCATTACTTTTCCTCATATGCGGTATTCTTTAGGGAAAAAAATATAATAAATCTTTCAGCCGTGGGGGCATTATAATGTGACGGTCAATCCCACAATTCGTTGATAAAAGAGTTGGCGGTGGGTGGTGGTGATGACTAGCTGCTTTCCATCTAGTCTCTCACTGTTAATTTAGGGACGGCTAGTGCAGATAGCTCTCGTGTAGCTTGTCTCGCGAAACTCAAGACAAAAACAATTCATAAGACATTTTCACCATCGTAGTTATATCATCGTGAATGTTAGGAAAGTTCGTTGCCAAAGTTTGGAAACCGGTAAACTAGCACTGCCTAAAGTTTGGAAACTGGTAAACTAACACTGCGCAAAGTTTGGAAACCGGTAAACTAGCACTGCGTAAAGTTGGGAAACCGGTAAACTAGCACTGCGTAAAGTTGGGAAACCGGTAAACTAGCACTGCGTAAAGTTGGGAAACCGGTAAACTAGCAGTGCCTAATGTTTGTAAACCGGTAAACTAGCACTGCGCAAATTTTGGAAACCTTCCCAGTGGTACAGCGGTAATTCTGAAGACTTATAACGCTAAAAACCGGGTTTCGATAACTACAAACAATAGAAAAAACAACACGTTTCATTTTTATCTAAATAGTCGTCATTATGGCACTGTAACATTTCTTTTGATGATTGGATTAAAAAGTTTCTTTAAACTTTTATTTGAACGTGTATGTTTAGAATAAACACAACCTACATTTTTATTGAATTTATTCTAACCTTCAATTTTTTAGGCTGCCCCATATCTGTGGTGTCCATATTGCTTCGTACTGAATAATTCTGTGTTTTCGTCTATTTCAACCCAAATTGGGTGAAATCTTTCTTGTGTAGAATACTTAGGAAACTTCAGCGTTAATCAGAGGGAATGTACTAGTGGTATTTTTGTTTGACTCGCTCGTATCTTTAGGGATATTGCAACCAATAAAGCCATCGAATCACAAGTAATTTGATGAATAAATAGTTTAGAAATATGTTTGAAAAATACTTGAAAGTTTTGTAATCTAGAGTTAAAATATAGAAACATTAGTTCAATCAACCTCATTTTGTTAATTTGACAGAACAGCTATAGCGTTTCTAGATATAATTTCTTCCACCCAACGAAATGGGCTTACCAAATCAGTTACAGTTTATCCTGTACAATCTGTAGAATAAATTGTTTTCCGTTGTCTTTCCTAAATAAAATAAATCACTCCCATAATGAAAAACTAAATGCTCCATCTGTTGTTATGTTAGATGTTTCAAAGAAAACTGTTACTTTATTCATATCCTACTTAAATACTGTTTCAAACGAGATTAAAAGAAGATTATCAAATATCTATATCCACAGTTTCATTGAAATGTGTCTTTAAAACAGAGTCTGGGATCTTATAGTTTA